CAATATGAAATAAAATTTGCACTTACCAAAAATATCACATCTCATAGCTCCCACTCTTTCCCTGTTTTAAATTTTCAACCCCAAAACTCCAAGTGGTCACAGAGAACAATGGAATTGAAGTGACTCAGGTTCTATTTCTTTCTCTTTATGGTCTCTGTGCTATCATCATTTATTTTGAATCAGCTCATAAGCAGCAGGGACCTAGTGTCGCTATAGTGACACCTCCCTTGAGCTTTGAATCCCACCCACCAGGAATTTGCTCTGTAAGACCTGTGGGTGACTGACGACTTGCTTCACAGGTGGGAATTCCCTAAACCCCCGCACAGAATATAATGTTTATTAAAGGATAAGTAACGAAAATGTGCTAATCTGAAGCTTGCATATATATTATTAAAACAATGGTGACTACAACATTTGGTTAGAATTTAGACCAACAAGTTTTCTTTTTTTTGGGGGGGAGAGAATTTTATCATTGACCTTGTTTAGAGTTAGTGGAACTTGGTGAAAATAAAAAGATAATTTTAAAAAGACCAGCTTTTAACTAGTTTTGTTACTATTTTAAATTTTCTACAGACCCTGTGGAATGCATGGCCCTCCCTCTCTGGGACACCCTAACTGTCCTCTTGGACTCTTGCCTACCTGGGCCACCTTTGGAACTTGCCCTTCACCCACTAAGAGAAATGCTGCTGAGAACACAGTGGTCAGCCAGTTTCCCTATGCCTGTCCGTCTCCATCAAAGACTATACTCTGGTTCCTCATTCACTTGTCTGGTACAAAGCTTATGAAGTACCAAAACCTGTGTATCCTCCCCCTTCACATGCAGAAAACAGTCTGATGCATAGTAATGGTTCATACACATTTATTGAGTGAATGAACAAATGGAGGAGAGTGACTGATACACATTGGGCACCTGTTGCATGTTCTAGGACAAGTGCAGCATGCCATATATATCCTCCTTCATTCAAATTTTTAGTTCAGAATATAAAGAAGAAGAGAAGGCAGATGTCTGAATGATTCATAAACCAATCATTCTGCTCCAGAATAATTGGGATTTTAAATTATCCTCATATTAGCAACCAGAACAGTCCATTCCCAGCATAGTGTGAAGTAATTTTTGGAGACAATTTAAAAATAAAGCTGAGAGTACTAATTGAGACTCCAGAATGAAAGTGGATGATGGTGTGGGTCCATGGCTCAGGGCACAAACTATGCTGTTAGGCTTGTGATTGTTCTAAAATACTTAAAATGGATTCTACCCAAAGATCTACCAAGGAAAGTTCTCTGTTCCTCTATTCTTTAGCTGTCAATCCTCAGAGAGGTTTGATAAAATCTGCACTTCAAATAAAATGTGATGAATTATCATCTATGGGGAGTTCCATACACAAGGTTCAGAATTTCCTCCAAGTTTGCATCGAAGTATCCTAAATACTTCAAAGAACTCGGCCAAATCTCACCAGTAAAAGTAAATTCTCCTCCTTCTGCTGAGCTAACAGACATGGTGCCCCAGACCCTGGGGCTTTCCTGCCACCTTCTCTGTGAGTGGAGAGGACAGCGAGGAGGTCTGGAGCTGAAGAACCCAGGCTGTCAGGTCCCAGGTGATTTAACTCAGCCAAGCTCAGCCGGCTGTGACTGAAGGATCAAAGGACAGAGTGAAAGTCAAAAGATGAGGGGGACAAGGAGAGAGGGGATAGCCAGTAGAGAAACTGCACTGTATTTTGATACTCAGAAGGTCAGTATGGGGGAAATTGCACCTATGCAATTTAGACAGGTGGTTTGCTTCCTTGTGCCTACTGGTGAGGGCTTTTCTGTGGACTTGGTCCCCACTCTCTCTTCAGCTTGCTTCTTCCCCAATTCCCAGAGGATGAAGAAAGCATGAGCTCACTGTTACTGATGCTAGAGGAAGAAAAGTATTCAGGGACCCTGTTGCCATCTATTTACAGGTGAAGGGAATAGAGCCAAGGCTGAGTTAACTAGGTTACTGGAAATAATGAAGTGGAATCCATGACTCCCAGGGCAGGGCAGTTCTCGCACTTTACATGGCCTTTCTTGTAATAAGTGCTTCACAGATACTTCCTCAGTTAATGAATGAATAAACTGTGCACATGTCCTTGCTACTTCGCTTTCTTCTTTAAGATATCAACACTTGGCTAAGAAGTGAAGAGTAGTTCTTTTGAAAGTTCCCATGTGGAAAATGAAAAACTTTTCATTTTCAAAATGAAATACCCTGAAAAACAAGATACCCTGAAAAAAGACCTGGGGGTCATAGAGGCTGACAAGCTGTAAACCACTCATTCAACTCCATGTCCTTAAGCATCAACCAAACAGGATGCTGGTTGAATCCTGCAAGATCACAACAGTTAACTAAATAATCTAGCTCTGGGCTGCACAAACAGCAGTATAAACCAGGAGAAAGATTCCCTGCTATGAGTATATGCCAGGCTGCATTGCAACCCAAGGCAAACATTATCTGATTGATTTTAGGGAATGTTAAAAAGTCACCTGCCTATAAATAAACATTTAGAAATGAAGCATATTTTGGGCAGAGGTTAACACTGACCCTCACTAAGCCTAAATATTCAGCTACACCGGCCAGGAGTTGAGGACACTAGCCTTCTCAGGTTCCCTTTAACCTGGCTACTTCCCCAGGTCTAGGGGCAAAATCAGAGTCCTGAGGAGGCAAGACATGATGACAGGGGTTCTCTGAGAGATTCTTAGTCCCAAGAGGCAGCCCCCTCTGATTGCTATCCAGCCCAGGCCCTGTTTTCCAAATTCCAGTGGACATAGCCTCCCAGGATCCCAGACCTTGGCACAAGCAGGAAGTCATAAAGTCCCCCTGTATACCTCCCATGCCAACAAACCTCCATTTCATGCAGTGCCAAGAATGGCCTGATTTGGAACCTCATCGTTTCCTGAGTTTACTGTCTCTCATCCAGGGGCATCACCCAGTACAAGTTACTATGGACTGGTAACTTTCCATTTCCTGGAAACCTGCAGTCATCTGCTGAGTGGTCCTCACATTGCTTGGGGTTCATCAGCCTCCTCCCCATTCCACGAAAGGAGGCACTCTTTTTCACACACATCTCAACTTATCAGTACCTTGGTGTTTCTCCATGGATTTGAGATGCCTTAAATCTTCACTTTTTGGACTCACCTTCCCCAGGACCTCCTTCTCATTCCTCGGGCTCCAGTCTCCCTGCCCTTCTTTCACTACATGTGAAGACCACAACTCTTGCACCACAGGGTCTTGGTATGTACTGTCCCCTTCTATGGGCATCATCCCCTCTCATAGATACTGCTCCTTTAGATTCTGGCTTCATTGCTATTATTCCCTTAGGGGAGCCTATCCCAATGACCCCACCCACCCACCAGGTCAAGACATCTCCTGACACCCTGAACTTCTCCCTTTGGTACCTATTATAGTTACAACTGTTCAATGTGCTCAAATCTGTCTACTCTAGTAGATTTCAAGGAGCATGAAGTCAGAAGTTCCCTCCCAGAGTTCCAGTGCTGAGCCAAACACATGGTAAGGGCTTAATGAACTTTGGTTGAATGAATGAATGGATGGGCTGGTGGGCAGACAGATGGATGGGTGGGCAGATAGATGCATAGGTGGGAAGATGAATTATAGGTGGATGAATAGATGATGGATGGATCTCCACAGGCACCAAGGAGCACAGGGACGATCCCTTGGCTTCTGAGAGAAGTTCACTGGACTATCTCAAATACCTTATTAAAATAAGTAGGACGTAAGGAACACCTCTGAAAGATCTCCAACTGGAATTTGAGATGGTCACTTTGGGGAGGCTGAAAGCCAGTGAGTTCCTAACCCCATAAAACCCTAACTCAAATCTCTGTAGAGGGCCAATATGGCAGACGCTGGTACCACACCCATAGCCCCCTGGCAGTCCCCTGTGATTCTCCACCTGAGCATTCCCTCTGGTGTACTTGGTCCTCACTGTCAGCCCAGAGCTCCAAAGATCTGCTGCCACCAGTGAGGAGGGAGCTGGAGGAGAACTGCCCCAGCCCCCTCCCCTCAGCTGAGAATGCTCTGCCATGTGGCCCAAATTATCTCCAGGAGCCCCAGTATCACTTAATTCTTCAGCCACCCTTTGTTGGCTCCTCCTTTTTCTGTCTCACTTCTCCTCCCAGAATAAACTATTTGCTCCAAATCCTTGTCTCAGGGTCTACTTCTGGGAGACTCCAACCAAAGACAGCCCCAATGAGCAAAACAGGTCTGTGATGCAGGAAAAGTCCAGGTCTTTGGTGAGTTGTTTGCTGTGCAGGAGACTATCAGTGGTGGCCTGAATTCTTATTCCAGACCCAGAGCTCCTACCCTTCCCAGGATCCCTGAGTAGGGGAGGCAAGGCATCAAGTCCAGGGTCAGGAAAAACAAACATTTTTGTTTTTCTCTTTCTGATGCTTTTTGTGACACTGCCACCTCCCAACACATTTGCACTGTGAAACCCTGAAAACTGCTACATTTCACTCAATTTGGTTTAATGTTTTCGAGGAGCTTGGCATTATATTAGACACTCAAACATTCCCACAGTCCAGTTCCTATTTAAAAACTGCCTCTCTATTTAAAGTTCACAATGGGGGGAATAAAAGAAAAAAAAACTCCCAAAGTTGAAGGGAACATGAGATAGGCAAAAGAAAAATCCAGTTTACTTTTTAAAAAAGGCTGAAAATTATAACCATCCGTGGCCTCGTATCTCAAGTCTGAGGAATTTTTTCCCTCTTCCAATTGTTTTCAAACCAAAGTGGAATTTTATTATGGGTTACCCAGTGAGCTTTTTCAAGTTCCTAGCCCCCAAAAGTCTCTACTCACTCCGTAGCATGCCATTTAAGCTCCTTGTGCAGATGGGAGAGAATGGAACCTAAATAAAGTAGCTAGTGTTCCAGAGCTATAAACATCTTCCCCCCTACCCCACCCCCCAGGCCGTCACATTTCCGCAGCGTTTAGCCAGAGATCCAGCAAATCCGCCTGGCTCCTTTTATGAACAACAAAACTGTGATGGAGGCAACAGGAGTTAGAAAACTATTCACTGCAGGAAGTCCCAGTATCCGGTGAGAAATAAGAAGTACAACAGCACAGGATGCGCCTTGGGTCAGGAGGACGTGAAAAGCCTGCAGTCTTTGTGTCCTCCTCTGTACCAGAGTGTCAGTGTCTGAGCCCTCAGCGTCCCTTGGAGCACAGATCTGCTGTCACTGCCAGGCTTCCAGCATCCCACTGAGGGCAACACAGAGGACACAATGGCTACCTCCACCAGCCTGTTGCTGCTGCTGCTACTGCTCCTGAACCAGCCCTGGGCAGGGTCCAGCACTGAGACACAGATGGTGGTGTGTGCAGGGACTGCTTGCTACACAGCCCACTGGGGCAAGCTGAGTGCGGCTCAGGCCCAGCTTCACTGCAGCAAGAACGGGGGCAACTTGGCCACAGTGAGGACTGAGGAGGAGGCCCAGCACATCCAGCGAGCACTGGCCCAGCTCCTGCAGCCAGGGATGCCTCTGGCAACCCGGGTGGGCAAGTTCTGGATAGGACTCCAGCGAGAGAAGGGCAAGTGCTTGAACCGCAGCCTGCCACTGAAGGGCTTCAGCTGGGTGGGTGGTGGGGAGGACACACCTTATGCCAACTGGCACAAGGAGGCCAGGAACTCTTGCATCTCCAGGCGCTGTGTGTCCCTAATGTTAGACCTGTCCTTGCCTCCCCTCATAAGCCGCCTCCCCAAGTGGTCTGAGGGCCCCTGTGGGAGCCCGGGCTCTCCTGGAAGCAACATTGAGGGTTTTGTGTGCAAGTTCAGCTTCAAAGGCATGTGCCGGCCTCTGGCCCTGGGAGGCCCAGGCCAGGTGAACTACACCACCCCCTTCCAGGCCACCAGCTCCTCCTTGGAGGCAGTGCCCTTTGGCTCCATAGCCAATGTGGCCTGTGAGGGTGGGGGAAAGAGTGGGCAACATTTCTTCCTGTGCAAGGAGAAGGCCACTGATGTGTTCAACTGGGGCAGCTCGGGTCCCCTCTGTGTCAGCCCCGAGTACGGCTGCAACTTCAACAATGGAGGCTGTCAGCAGGACTGCTTCGAGGGGGGGGATGGCTCCTTCCGCTGTGGCTGTCGCCCCGGGTTCCGGCTGCTGGACGACCTGGTGACCTGTACCTCCCGGAATGCTTGTAGCTCCAGCCCCTGTGGAGGGGTGGCCACATGCGTCCCTGGACCCCTTTGGAAAAGCTACACTTGCCTCTGCCCCCAAGGCTACCAGCTGGACTCAACTCAGCGGGACTGTGTAGATGTGGATGAGTGCCAGGATTCCCCTTGTGCCCAGGAGTGTATCAACACCCCCGGGGGATTCCACTGCCAATGCTGGGTGGGCTACGAGTCCAGTGGCCCTGGAGAGAGAGCCTGTCAGGATGTGGATGAGTGTGAGACAGACCACTCACCCTGTACCCAGGGCTGCACCAACACAGATGGCTCCTTCTACTGCTTCTGCAAGGACGGCTATGTTTTGACTGGGGAGGACGGCACCCAATGCCAGGATGTGGACGAGTGTGAGGGCCCAGAGAGAAGCCTCTGTGACAGCTTATGCTTCAACATGCAAGGGTCCTTCCGCTGCAGTTGCTTGCCAGGCTGGGAGCTGGCCCCTGATGGGGTCTCCTGCATCATGGGACCCACGTCCCTAGGACGATCGGCTGGGTCTCTCCAAGGCGAGAACACAGGAGCTAGAGAAGGGAAAATTGAGCCTCCTGCCACAATGCCAAGTCCAACTGGGGACCCTAAGGGCACCTCCAAGGTGGTACCCACCATGAGGAGACCCTCCCTCCCACGCAACGCCTCTATCACCCCTGCCCCACCCAAGACACTGACCCCCAGCAGGCTCCCTGGCATTTGGATTGAGCCCAGCAACCATCACCCCACAACCACCACTGGCCATGAGGAGTCTACGGGTGGTGATTTCATGGTCCAACAAAGGGATGATGACACCGATAGGAAAAAGCTGCTTTTGTTCTACATTCTGGGCACTGTAATGGCCATCTTACTCTTGCTGGCTCTGGCCCTAGGACTGCTGGTCTACCGCAAGCACAGAGCCAAGAGGGAGAAGGAGAAAAAGCCCCAGAGCACAGCAGACAGCTACTCCTGGGTTCCAGAGCGAACTGAGGGCAGGGCCATGGAAAACCAGTACAGGTAAAGAGGCCTGAGGTCACCCTGGGGACAGGAGGGGGCAGGTACAGAGAGGTGGGTGGGCAAGGACCTCCTCACGAACAGGCAGAGGGCAGGGGCAGGGGCTGTCCATGCTGGATGGTTAACTCAGCCCGGCTGTACCCATAGACACACCGATACTCCCTTAGAACAGTGATGCAGCCAGCAGTGTGGGTGCACGTGGCCTCCCCCCAGGGTCTAGTCATGCACAGCAGGATGCAGCAGTTTTCAATGCTATCTTTTGTTTTCCATAGTCCAACACCTGGGATGGACTGCTGAAGGTAAGGTGGCCCCAGAGACACTGACAGTCAGCTGTCATCAGCTGTCACCATCATCAGAGCTTTATGCTCCCCATCAGAAAGCAGGACCCACATCCTTCTGAAACACTGGACTGGAATCTTAGCAAACAGTTGCAAACTTTCTCTTTAAAGGCCTGGCAACTTGGAATGTACAGGTATATTCTCTGTGTGTGTGATACCCCTGAAATTGGGTGTCACTGCAGGAATTTTGTGAATATTAACAATTCTCACTCACTCTCCCTTGTGAAATTCAAATGTGACTGATTTCATTTATTGCACTGATTCTAGATTACAAGTTAGGTGCTAATGGGCTCCTTTTGAACTGCTTCTCTGCTGACTGGAGTCTATAAGAAGAAAAGGGATCTGATAATGCTAAGTAGGACTGAAATGGTTTGTTTCTCTTAGTATATTGGAGACTAAGTCAATTAATAGTTTAATTATATAAGAAAGTTTTTTTGTTTTGTTTGTTTGTTGTTTTTTTGTTAGAGGGAACATATTTAGGACCGGGAACATCTCTTTACCTTTATATTCATGCATTTTCCCATCATAAGTCCTACTGACCTTGATGTTGTTGAAATCCTCCACAGTGACCAGAAATCCACTTAAATGCTTAAGTAGCAAGGAGGCAGGGAGTTTAGAAATACGTTTCCTTGTTCTTAAGTTTCTGATAGTCTTGGATTTATTTGCCACTGAAGCCTAAAAATGTGGTAAAAGTGATATGAAGTGAGTTAAAAGCGTTTTTGAAAACAAATATTCTAAAGTGCTGGAGAGAGAGAGGCTGGGGGTTTGCTCCACAAGCATTCGAATCTAAATTCATCTAAATGTTCTGATGTTAACACATACTTGACTACTGATGAGATGAGCATTCATGGAAAAAAGCCAAGGACAACTTGTCTCTGAGCCGGCACAGCCCCAAGACATCCTCCACCCCAGGCTGCACGGCCTTCACTTCATGCAGCTCTGGATTTGAGTGCTTTGACTAGATAGAAAAAGCACCAAAAAGTTTATCATTCTGATGGTTTCTAAAGGATGTGTGAGAGAAATGATATGCTGAGCTCCGAAAGCTGTCATCATAAACTTTTTAGCACTGTTTATAGTCCATATGGCACCCTGAGAACTTGATTGTGATTTGTGGCTGTAAAATACAAAAAAGTCAAGGATAGGTCATGCAGGATGCTGTCCCAGTGCTGCTTCAGGAACTTGTGTCCCCTTTCTCTGTTTTTCTTAAAAAGGATTGAAGGGAGGGAGAGACAATAACTAAAATTGTTTGCAACAGCAAAAACTATTCAAAGCAATTTTAATTTATATCCTCATTTATAAGTGCTTACTTGCAAAGATTTGCCCTTAGGATGTGGTCAATAGTGTATAGTTCTGCTTGAGTCACCAGAAAGCAGCTGGGATGGTGGGAATTGTTAGAGCTGCCTGAGTAGCACTGGGAGGCCTCTGTTGGGTTGATGGAGGGAGTGGGAAGGGCTGTCTTCTGCCACCATAGAGAAGGACAAAGGGAATGTGTTTCCTTCCAGAGGCTCCAAATTCTGCCTCTCAGAAGGAGGATACCTTACTGTTTCTAGTTTTGCCTTAGAGGCCCACACCCTGGGTGGGAGTAGCCCCAGGTGCACAGCCTTCAGGGTCAAGTAAATATCCTTTTGCCAATTTTGAAATGTAGATGCTACAGTTCAGATTTTTTCAAGACAATGGAAAAGTGAAGGGTGGTGGTGGAAAGAAATATGGAGGCTCTGCGGGACATAGTAGGGGTTTGGAATTTCTGTTTTTTAAAGTCAGTTTTCACTTGGAATACTGGTGTTTAACACTCAAGGAGACAAAAGCTGTGCCTATTGGCCACAGGATCCTTGGCAGTGCTTTGTATGGGAACCCACTGTTTGGCCATTTAGATGATTTTAAAGACTTGGCCAGAGGTGTTGCTGACAAGTATCTGCACTTACATGAACTAAATACAAATTCAACAGCTTTACTCCTCCACCTTTACAGTTTTTACTCTTTTCATTTGGGATAAAGGAGGAATTCCTACTGTGGGCTTCACCCAAGGCCTCTGTGATCCAGTGGGCCTTGAATTCACTGAGGTCACCAATGTGCCCTCTCATTTCACAGTGTTCCATTTTCTTCTATAGTCCAGGCTCATTTTCTGGTCTCTGTGTTTGAATTCTTCTGTGGTAGGAATAGACAACTTAGTTCCCCACGCTGGGGAGACCATGTGGATCCACACTGTGGATCCCACAAAGGGAGATATGGTTTGGTACATAGCAGTTTCTCAGAGTCCCCTCTGGCAGAGTTGGCCCTCTGAAGACCAGTGAGGTCTCCTGCTCTCAGGCCACTGCCCACCGGCAGCCTAGACCTCTGACCTGGATGACCTCAGGCAGGAAATCTGATGGGAACTGTTGGCCTCAAACAGATGCTTTTTTCTCCAATTTAATACTGCTGCAGTTCTGTCTGAGGTATTTGAATCCTTGTATTGGGGAGCTTAGAGCCACAACAATGGATAAAGGAGTGTCCAACCTGCTGCTTCGCAATTGGCTAAACACCTGTTTATCCACGGGGGCACCCAGGTGGCTCTGCCATGACACAGCCAGAGACTGAGCATGGGGAGAGGTGGCTCTGCTTTGTGCAGACTCCTCCAACCATGTCCCTGGGCTGGGCAGGGACAGATCTGCCAAGCAGCACAAGTAGGACGATGGAGAGAGAGAGAAGGCTCCACTTGACAACAAGCTCAAAGGCAATGGAGACTTTTGTCCAAACAGTTTCCCATAGTTCAATAATTCTGGAAGACTCTTGGAAAAACTATATTTGGGGCAAACTCACCATCTTCCACCCTCTACCTCCCAAGGCAGATAATTTAAAGGGGATGGCACCCTTAAACATGCAGCCCACTAGAACCATTCCTGAATTTCAGGGACAGTCACGGCTCTTTTTCTTGTTCATTATTTGGAGAGGCCTGATGCAGGAAGAAAATGTCCCCAGGGAATCTGAGGCATGGAGAAAACCAAGGGTGAGGCAATTTCCAAAAATGCCTGGGGAGTGGTGGACTTGGTAAGTGTCCTTTGTAGGATAACCCGTGGCTGCTCAACAACATGGCCTCATGGCAAAAGCAGCCATGGAGGGTGGCTTGATCATAGTCCTGGTGACCTTGTGGTGCTACACATCTGTGTGGGTGAATTAAGTGGTTTCTGGGTTGAGGACAGGAGGACTTTGGCTGTAGTCACTGCCAGGCCTTGCAAAGCTATCTTTAGCCCTAAGTGCTAGTCAGTGATAGAGTAGCAACCCATGGTAAAAGCTTTTCCTTACATTTTACCATGACCAGGCAAACAAGTGGAATAAAAAGTTAAGCATGTAGTGCATGCTCATGTACATCGTGCAGGAGGGACTGAGTATGAAACACATCTTTTTTTTCTTAAAACACACATGTATGAGTTGCTGTTCTCTTTGACATTCTAATCATGAGTGCTTGTCTGAGCATGGGACCTGGGCTTTTTACCACTCAGCAATCTTTGAAGAATACGGATTTGATCATTAATTACTTTTATTCCAACTTTCTTTCCCACAAATATTTTTGTGTGTGACAACTAAGAGAAGAGAGATGAGATTTGACCACAAAAAAATGTACTAAATTCAAAATAATGCAGTTTTTTTTAAAGCAAATACAAGAAAGCCTTTTTGTATTATTTTTCTTCTGAGCTTCTCCATTGTCTAGATCAGGAAAACAGGAAAGCATTGATTTCTAGCAGCTGCAAATGGTGTAATATCCCTACATATTTCCATCACCTTAGACAATAGGTTTTGGTGTGGGAATCTGAGATGTGAGCCCTGAAAACATCTGTTCCTATCTGGCTGCAAAGCTCACTGCTTAAATCTGTGTGGTTTGTCAACCAAAAAAAGGGAACAATAATCAAAATTCTTCAAGTATCCAATAATTAAATACCTTATTCCATTCCAGGTTACCAAAACTAATACTCACTGAAGTGCTTTAAAAAAAAGAATTATGTTTTGGTCTGTTCTTAGAGATAATGCCCATTTATTTTAGGAAGAAGTTCTGGAATTCTTTTTTTACGTTCTCTTTTATCTGTAAGGTGGCAAGTGTTTCCTCTCAGCAGATTTTGTCCCTTGTTCCCAGGGCTGAAGTTCTTTTGGAATATTTGGCTTACACGTGAATTAGGTCATATGCAAGTCTCATTCTGTGATATTAGGTGCGATTCACAAATGTCAGTAATCGCTTTATGAATGCTAAATGAGAATGTAAATATTTTTAAATATGTGTGCTTGAAATTTGTTCCACTAATTCTGGAATCATGAAATTTCTAGGCAGGATTTATTTTCATCCTAGGCATGAGTGCTTTGCAGTTTGGGGGGAGGGCACGCTTGAAGACTGCACTGTTCCTCAGAACTCTGAGATACTGAGAGTCATCTTGGGTCAGCCTCAAGAAAGGGCAGGTTTGTCGATCTTTGCACTTTTTGTTACGAACTTATTCTAATAAACTCTGAAATACATTTGTTGTCAACTTGTTTTAATATATTTCATAACAACTCAAAATACATGTTAGGCTTGTATTCTCAATCATTAAATGTATCATTTGTCCTTTTCAAAGAGTTGCTAAAAGAAGGTACTTTGACTGCACAGCTTGCACGTCTTCACCTACTGGAGGCAGCAATAACCCCAGACTACTGGGTGGATGCTAGGCACTGCCCTCCTGCCTGTACCATCCCTAGCACTCTGCTCTTGGGAACATGGGCATACAGAGGGACTGGGCTGCAGTATGACCAGTGTCCTAGCTGCTGAGACCCAGGCCTGATTGAATGCTTCTAGATTTTGCCTTCAGATCCAGCATCCACTCCTCTGTGCCTCCATCTTAACCCTTTAATTCCTTACATGATTTGAATTGCATGTGTGATACCTGGTGCAGGATTAAACATGTCCCATTGGTGTGATGCAAAGACACAATTCTCTACTATCATATGAGCATTGTTACCACTTTGTCAGCAAAGCATTTTCAGTTAATTTAACTAATTGGACAGGCAGACCAGATCGTTCATTGTTTGGCTGCATAAATCTCACTGTGACTGAATGCTGGGACAGCAGATGGTGGTCAGTTCTGGTCCATCTGCTTTTCAGATTGTGTACATGCAAGAACAGGGTTTAGGTAGGTTAAGTGCTCTGGTGATATGCTAATGGACATGACAAAAGATAAACACTCATTACTCAGCGTTAAGTAAAGGTGAACCTTTTAGCAGTTTAGTCACTAACAAAATACACTTGGAAATTATATATCTTAATATGAACAACTATGGCTGGCCCCCAACACACTCACACAAACAGACATTCACCAAAAACACACAACACAAACACAGAAAAGCACTTACAAATATACAAACAGACACACACCCATAAATACACACATACACAATTACACAATTTTAAAATCCTTCTGTTTCATACTGAAAAACCTAAGACCAGTGTTTCCTATCTTAGGAAAGTCCTATGAACAAATATGCCAAATTTTAAGGTTGATTCCTCTTGGTGACATTTTCTATCCGCTAACTAAAATGACATAAATGCTAGGTAAATCTGTCAAATATGATTTATTTACCAAAAAAATTCAATTTATACAGACTAATATCTGTTGCACAATACAAAGTACATTTGTATCAGATAACATGTAGATTAAAATGCAAAACTAACATATATATTATGTATATTCCATGGCTTGTAACATCAAGTTCTTAGCTGACTCAAGTGTATTCAGTAAGAAGAGACAGAGATAGCAGAGGTAATAAACCTTAAAACCAAAATCTCAGTTTGTCTGTCCCTGAATTGTATTTTGACTTTTCAGCTGCTTAAAAAGAGAACAGCTTTCTCATCTTACTTATACCTCCTGGCTCACCCTTTTTGGAAGAAATGAAGGGCAGGTAAATGGTGATAAAGTGAAAAAAGAGGCAAAGAGAGTGAAAGGTCCAGAATAACCCATAAGGCCAGCAATCACTCCCTGGGAATTTGACTTGACAGAATGCCCTTCACAGGGCTGTATACACATGCCCTGATCTGAGAACCCAGGTGCCCACAGCCAGAATTAGCCATAGCTGTTACCCTCCACTGAAAGCCATTTGCTGGGTTTTTATTTGAGGTTTGTCACCATTGACTTGGATGTTGCAGTTCTCTTGTGGCTGAAATTGGTCCATAGAATTCAACTGTGTGGAATGAGAGAAGGAAGGATAGAAGGGAGGAAGGGAGGGAAGGAGGGAGGGAGTGAAGAAGAGAGGGAAGAAGGGAGAAAATGAATAAAAGAAAAACAAAAAAGGAGGGAAGGAAAGAGAAGACAGGAGGGAGGAAGAAAAGAGGGAGAGAGAGAAAGGGGGTGGGGTGGAGTGGGGGATGACCTAGATGTAGCAAAGTTCATCAGGTGACCCATTCACACATCTCAACTTTTAGTTTGAAATAAGTAAGGGCCATTTGCCCTTGCATCTGTAACTTTCTGGCCCACACTTGCAGAATAGCAGAGCTATATTTCTGCTGACCTTGGCTGAGAACCAACAGCCTTTGTAGCATGCATGCTCTTGTCACTTCTTCCTGCAAACCACTGTTTATGTCTCCACGTTTTTTTGCCTGTCCACATAATTTATATCATAAAGCCTTAAGTTGGATCCATGACTTCTGCTCTGTTGAGCTCCTTCTCTGTTCAAATATCACATGAAAATAATGAAATTGTTGAGGTGGAAGAAAATAATTGTGCCTTTTACCTTTTTTCTGCGGAGTCTTCATTTCCCATAAAGATTATGTACCAAACTAAATGTTCAATTTCCTTGTCAAAACCATCACCTGCCCTCCCAAGCATTAACACGTCTGTACATCCTAGCCGCATCCTCATGGTCACAGTGTCAGTGTTGGGTGCAGGTTCTGCATATCGGTCACACCAGCGTTGTCCATCGTCATTTTCAATGGCATTGTCTCCCACGTGATATGGCTTTGCTACTTCTCCTTGTGTTTCTATTGGTTTTGTCTTCTACTTAAAGCTGTGTGGTTAGGTGATTGATATTGATACTTATTTGGCAGATTGCTTCCTTTCCTGATAGGAAATACAAGTTTTTGGACATTTTCACCAAATTAAATTTTGTCTAACTATTAAAATGGATATACCTGATTAATCTGTTGCATTTGATGAAGACTAACTTTTCAGTTTTTAATTTTTGTTTATTTTCAGCCTATTTGTGCCTCTTTATGTTTTTCTCTTATAAAAGAAATGCTGAATTTCACTATGTTTTTCTTTTTCTTTTTAAGCAATCAAAAAGTCTGTCTTTTAATGAGAGAAGTTAACTTGTTTACATTTACTAAGATACTAATAGATGTGTGGTAGTTTATTTTATCTATTCTATTTATAATGTGTTCTTGGTGTTCATATTCTCTCTTTCTTGTCAATTATTGGCTTGACTAAGGTTTCTTTGTTCTACTCGTTCCTCTAATAGTTTGGAACTTTATAAGGACTCTTTGTACTCTTCAAATGTTAATATTTTTACCTCATATACATAAACCTATGCCTTCCTTAGATGTCTAATGTTCATCATTAGCAATATCCTTCTCCCTGAAAACACACACACACACACACACACACACACACACACACACACACACACACCAAAAAACTACAGCAATCTGTTATGTCTTTCTCTCTTCTCAAACTACCCGAACCCCAATCACCATTATCCACATTGATTGCATCTAAATTTTATTTTTCAGTTGCTATGAATTTTTATGATCAACATCTACTTAGATGTCATGAATTTTACATGATTCTCTTCTCATCTTCACCTGATTATCTTAGATTCAGTTTTTATGAGAGTGGAGCAAAATGGAATGTTTTTGTTTGTTTTGATTTTGAGAAGGCCATTGAAGGGCAGGGTTTTTTTTTTTTATCCTTGCATGACAGGAAATGCCTTTGTTCCCAACCGAATGATGGCTCAACTGAATGTTGATTTCTGATATGTAAACTACTGTGAGTCTGCAGATAGGGTGCCCTTGCTTTCTTGCAGCCCTTGTTCATGATAAGAGGGCTGGTGTCAAATAACTTGTTTTCTTTCATGAGTGATTTCTTTTTCTTTTCTGAATTCTTTTATTATTTTCCTTTTCTCTTTTGTTTTCTGGGGTTTCACTTCAGGGTCCAGGTGTGGTTCTTTTTCCCATCATGCCTGCACTAGGTGAGCACTTTTCATCTCAGGAGGGTGCTTTATTCTAGTAGTTTTTGAATTTGAGCACTGTGGGGTCCCTTGGAGCCCCCTGCAGGGCTTGTTAAAATCCAGACAGCTGCATCTCAGCCCAGAATTTCTGAGATAGCAGGTCTGGGATGGAGCCCAAGAATTTGCATTTCTTCTCTTATTACTGTGAAAATGCCTTACTGTTTATTCTCTTGACTGTTGTTCTGGAAACAATTTTTAGATGGTTCTATTCTGTATGTCTCCTGACTTTCTTTCCACACTTTCCATCTTTCTATCCTCTCACAGTGCGTTATGAAGTTGTACCTTCTCCTCAGCCCTTCCAATGACACTTGTTTGTCCTGCTTTTTTCCAAAGCGCCAGTCACCGTCTAGCATATATATTCCACCAGAGCAGCAATTTTTATCTTTTGGTCTCTGATGCCACAAGCATCTAGACAAGGGCCTGCACACAGTGGTGCTCAATAAATACCCTTCCTTCCTCCGTAGCCAGGACCTGATTTCCTCAGGAGGAAGCTGGGTCCTTGAAGAGGGGCTTCTCTTTCAGGATTTCTCTAATGACCCTCACATGAAGGCTCAATGGCTACATGTCACGTCTTCCTAAGAGATTGTAAGGCACTTGAAGGTAGGAAATGTATCTTCACTGTGCCTCACACAGTGATTTACACATAGTCAAGTTCAAATATTTTTTAAACCAATGACCAACTACATGTATTATTTCATGCAACATGTTGTTCAAGCCATGTAGGGTAAAAAATCATTGAACTTTTATTACTTACCAGATATGAAAGTAGTTATTTATTGATTGAGAAATGGACAGCATTACTGTGGCTACTTTATAGATAAGGAAGCTAAGGGATAGTGAAGTTAGGAAACTTGCCCATAGTTACACAGTTCACAGGGGATGAAGTAGGGGTATGAAATCTTGCAGTCTCACTCTTGATCATGAGGTCTCATTGCCTCCCATTAAACATAAATGGAACTGGAACCACAATTTAAAAAGTGTCAACTAGTAACAACCTTAACTTTCAACTTATTCAAGATAGGAAAGGTGGAGCACTAAGCAATTATGAGTATTTTTAATAATATCTTATGTCCAAGTGAACACACTTACACTTGTGTACTCCCACAACATAAGCACGTGTGCACATGCATACACACACACACACACACACACACACACACACACACACCACGCGCGCGCACGCACACACATGCACTGGTGTTGGAACTACTCAAAATCTCTCTGCTATCCCCAGAGATTGTGCAATCTGAGATGCACCATGATCT